TGAGTCCTTCCAGTCCCTTGCGCGTCTAAGGCACGGGTCTCCTAGAAAGCCTCACTGACGAGTCCACTAGGAGGCCCAGGACGAAACGACCTAACCTTTCCTTCTCGCCTATCCTCTGTCACTTTCCTACCTAGCCTCAATTTTAAAAAAAGTATCCAGCGTCAAATTGACTCCGAAATATATTCCATCGAGTAAAGTAGCTGGAAAAGAAATGGTAAAAGAGTCCCGAGTTCACAAGCTGACCAATTAAATCTGAATTAGATACTCAAATATTGAGCGAAGCTGGCGGAGAAACATTTCCAGGGCAATCGGTGAACGTTTCATTACTGGAAAAGGGAAGACGCGACCGGAAGTGAGCGTGTTAGAGGTAAAGGCTGACGTGGACCGTGTTAAATCGCGTAATCACGTTCCCCGCGAATATTTGACTAGGCGTGCGAGGGAAATTTCATCCGTCTTCGGTCGGCGAGTGCGGTGGCATTCGCCCTCCGCGCCTAGACATAATTACACGTCTGATTAAACATTACAATTGCAAGTCAGCCGAGATTTGTCACGAGCGTCTGCGGCGTTGCGGTGTCCCCGTCAGACGCGTCTATTCCAGGCCTCTGTCTGCTCTGGAAATTTCCGTTGTAACACGCGGTTGACAAACGTTCCACGCAGGGAAATCGATCGAATTAATTGGCGAGGAGGAAATCGGGCGAATTTATGTGGAAGAATCGGGTTAATTTTCACCGTGTATAATTGTTTGCCCGCTTTAAACCGGTTCGGATTAATCGACGAATATTCGGCGGACTTGGGGGGTTGCTTAAGAGGTGATTGCAAGTTTAGGGCAACTTTTGCCGAATGCTTCCGTCGCTAATGCCTCAAGTTTTAGGTTAAGGATGCGTTCACGGTGGAAATTCCAGTTAGGAATTTATCCTGGAATTTTACGAAATTCTGTTTTCTCTTTTGAGCTGCCTCTTAACAGTATTTAGCAACGGTAACTTCCTGTTATATGTTCCTCCGTATTAAGAGCTTCGGCTACAGCTTGTTCCGAGAAAAGGGCAGGATGTAACGTTACTTTGCAAGGTGTCCGAGACAATTCTCAACACGTTACAAGTTTCGATAAAGATCGCAATCTAGATAATGAACAGCGAAACTACCGATGAGAAATAGAAGAAAAGGAGAATTTTCCATGGAAGAAAATGTGTTACTATGGTAACTGTCGCACAGCTGAATGTTTGAAAATTATTCCAGAGGAAAACAGGCACGTATCATTCTTCCCTTCCATTTGCAGCGAAATTCTGAACGTCTCCCGTGCTTCACGAGCTCATAACCGCGCCACATCATAGCGGAAAGACGCGAGGATCTTGCTTGTGCATTATGCACCCGGCTGATATATTACACGTGTCGGGGTAATAACGTTACAGGTGTCCTGACGGCCATACGAGCACGCGGTGCAAACATTGTTGCGTCCCTTCATAAAATTCCCCTAGGAGAGCCTGTGCGTTGGAAATTTTCCCGGATACGTGTCCGTGTCGGGCGGTACAGCGGCGCTAGAAACTCTCCGCGATGGCCGCGAATTTCCGCCAGGAACAAATCTGCCACGGCCTCCGCTAACGACTCGAGTGGCCGGACAGCGGCGTGTAATTTCGACGAATCGAGGAAAATGATGGGTGAAACTGATCGGTCTCTCGTGGAAATCTGCCTGGGACGTGTATTGCTACTCGTTCGAGTTCGTAGAGTAGCTGGATTTCAGTTGTCGAACCTGGAAACATTAGCGCGGCACACAGAGTATCTATATTTTCGATAATCTCCGATGGGTTTGTCCATTTTACATTCTGACATAGCTGCACGGTCGATTCTCGTCAAAATTAACACTTAAAGCGACGGGTTTCTCGTTGGAAACTTTACTTGAAGCGCGGCAATATTTGCGAGTTTTGTAGAAACATGCACTTTTACGAAATAAAATAAAGTAGCTGTTGTAAAACAGAAAATTTCTATTGAAAAACTTTACGTACTCTTCGTTCAAAATAAGAATAACCTCGTTTCGCGCATGGGACGTGCCTAAGGCAGGGCTAGTACGTCCAAACCACCACTTAAAAGCCTATAACTTTGGTAATTTCGAAATTTCCTTTTAACTACATATTCTGTAAACCTCGAAGAGGTGAAACCACTTAAAAGCTTATAACTTTGGTAATTTCGAAATTTCCTTTTAACTACATATTCTGTAAACCTCGAAGAGGTGAAAAATCTGAAAAAAAATTTTTGATCTTTTCAAAGATCTAGACCGGAACCACCTCTTAACCGCCTACGTTTTTCTCCGTCTCACCCTCTGCTGCGCTCTCTCTCTATGCGCAGAACGGCCGAAAATCGGTTCGAGAGCGAGGTTATTCTTATTTTGAACGAAGTGTAGTGCTTGTTACAGACACAGCGACGATTTTTAACGATATAAATATTGAGCCACTCGCTGTTCGAGAGATATATTTTTATCTGCACAAACATGTAAAATAGCCTTAAAGCGGGTCCGGCGTTTAAAGTGTTACTACCTTATTTCGTGAATTTTTCAGCGATTTTGTGTATATCAGTGGCCAGAAGTATCAATTCGCGCTGCTAATTTCTTATTGATCTACAATTAATGCTGCAAGGACCGGAAACAACTTACCTCGTCCTGGGTGTGTTTGAGTAGTAATAAGTTCGTTAAAAGTTTGTTAAATTCCTAACTGTTTTCTGAAAACTTTCGCGTAGCTTGCATTGCCTACTGGTCTCAAACTTTTAGCCTGTTAAAGATTACACCTGTTTAATAATTCCAGTTTGAACGTAGTCGCGAGTACGACTCGGGGTTGCAATCCACAAAATTGAGATACCAAGGCGGCATTAGGGAAGAAATTTCTTAGATTACGATGAGTAGCATTTTAAAAATAATAATTTTATTCTACTAAACTTTCGTACACGGAAGTCTTACAAGTTTCAAGGCACTCAGGCTGTAATTTCCAGATGTTTCTTCGTCCTCGAGGACAAGAGTATTGCGCCCCCACTTCCTGGGACTTTCCCAGGGAAAAGGGGCTACTTAAGGGAGCCCCGAAAAAGGCACGAGGCCTTTTTCGAAATTAGAAATTAGTTTAAGCATTACGTTTAAATAAATATATTTTTGTTAAACAAATTTCGCGAGTAATTATTTCACGCCACGTCACTTCCAAAGTGTCCTTAAAGAAAATTCGGAGGTCTGATTTTAGAGAGGTGGAAGAAGTAGAGAAAGTAGAGAAACGTTGCCTAGGATTTGACGAGTAAATTTCAAGCGTATGACTCGAAGTTGGTATGCGTAAGTATGACTATGAGTCGTGTGCGTAATTTGCGTCCAGAAGATAGGAGAAAATTTTGGAATTGCTTATCTCAAACTAAACGGCAAATATAAACGTGCTTCTCATCTTAGAGAGGTGTCCATAATCTCACGGTGCACCATAGAATTCTGCAAAACTGCAAGGGACAATTCTGTGAGGCGAGAATAGAAGAGAAGGTAGGGTTCGTGTCGCGAGACTCGTTTGTAATTTACATCGGACCGGTTCGGGCAAGTGGGTCAACCCTTTCGGGCGCAATTTGATTCGTTCCGCCTTAAAACTAGCGGCGGAGGGACTGGAAGCACCGCGTGAAACTATGCCGCGGCCGAAACACCGAGGAATGCAATCGAGGCGTAAACTGTTCGGAAATACACGGTACACGGCTGGACGCGATTCCGATTCGTCGGGGAGTTTAAAAAACGCCGCTCGAGAGAAAGTTTCTCTTAATTAAACGCTCGCCGACCGCGGAATTTCATTTAACATCCTGGCCCACATAAGGAGACGAACTCTTTGAAATTCTGCTGACAAAGAGGAACGCGCTGATGAGACTTTGCAGCGGGGAATAAGCTTCGATTAAATGAATCTTCCGGTGTTCTCTGTGAATTTCTTTCTCCGAGACGTGGCTCGAACGAGAGCTGCGTAATAATTTAACGAGGAACAGCGGCGGTCGTTATGCAGATGTTATTAAAGATATTTCAAAGATGTTGTAAAGATGGGATATTAGAGACGTTCTGGTAGGAAAGTAGTATTGCAGATATCGTTTAAGTGCTCTTAAGTTTTAATTAATCTTTCGAAATTGACCGTGTTTGCTTATTTACCAGCGCTGCCTACAGTGATTCCTCATTTTCATCGATAATCAATGCCTTTGCTTAAGTAATTTAGTCGATGCAAACATTAGTGAAATAGTTCTCGATGTCGGAATTTTGTGAAAACACGGCAAATCAATTAAGAATTTTGTGAGAACACATATTTTTTCCCACTCTATAGGCAACCTGGATCGTTTACGTTTGAGATGAATTTTGTCGCTGTTCTAAGCTTTCAAAAATTCTAAAAAAATTCTAGAGTACCTGTCAGAGTCTCTACTACATTACACAATTGTTCGTTAAGTCAAGTTTTTAAAACTCTCGATAAAAATGAGTATTTGTTTCGAAGAAATACAAGAGTGAAATTTCCCTTGGGTCATTAATGACCCAGATTGCCTAAGAAGGGCTAATAAACTAAAG